AAAGTCTTCGGTGAATATATGTTTAATAAACTTATTACAAACCTTTAGACTGATAATACTGATAACTGTGACTGTAAACTCGCAAGGGAAACACCAGAAAACAAACTTTTGCACACAAAGATTGAGAACCGCGCTCTCTCAACACGCCATCTTTCACTGGAGTTGAGTACCAACCTGATCAACCAAACGGAGCGAAATTTAAAACTATTCCAGAATCACAATTGTCAATAACACAGACGTCATTTCACCCAGTTATAATTTTAGGGTATTCTTCCCAACACACGTACATTTGTATAGGCCTATAAATTCATGCATAACCTGATTTACTTATTTATGGTTTACTTAACGGGCAAAGAACGAGCGCTTTCACTAGGTAGGTCTGCCATCTGTAATTCATTCATGTCAGATATCACAGTTCATGATGACAACTTTACCATACTGCATGTATCACTGGTCTGAAAACAGCCAGAACCCGTCCTAGTTATGATTGTATTAGCAAGACAGTGACGTCAGTTAGTTTCACATTACAGAGTTAAACCTAGATAAAGAAAATCAGTTATGATCACTGAGCTTTGTCAGAGTTAAATCAGTTCTGTCAGTACAAAACGAAGCCTCTGCAGGGCGAGGATGTTCATCTTACAAACTGGTAAGCTGATACCTTCGCTTGGGCTGGGTTTAGACGTAGGCGTGTAGGCCTTTGTGAAAATACTGTGTACCACCTAAAATTCTTGTCCTTATTAAATTTTGCTACGAGAAATACGTAAGAAAATGTGAGAAAAGGATAACACAGGGAAAATTTATTAATATTTTAAACTTTATTCACTTTAATAGTGTTATTATCTGATTTCTTTTTCCGATCGCAGGCGTCACGTAACAATCATAGGCTTGCGATATATCTACTAGGTAACATTGCGTTATCACTTAGACACGGAATTGCAACTTAAAAATGGCCTGCCGCATCTATGCGAAGTCCACTAGAAAACGAAAAAACAACAACCCGATTGCTTGCATGCAATGAGTGGGTGTATGTATGGGACTTGTCTCAAGGTAATATAACCTGCCGGCGGACCGATATTCGAACCCTGGTCTTCTCAATTACGGTGTAATAACGGAACTGCAGTCGTGGTGAGTAGGAAAGCTCTCGAGCTGACAATGAGGAAGTCGTCCTACTGTTAATTCTACGAAACGCCTTTCTCTAGGAATGTGATATCTGCTGCGCTTGTGTTAGTTTCATCAGCTAAGCTAACGGAATCTACAACGCGCGTGTAGTTGAACCGGGATGTTCCTCAAGCAGTGCCCGAAGACGCTAGCGACATTGATGATAATTATTACTATAATTAAAATGACGAGGATTATAATACAATGATGATGGTAATAATAGTGATAATGGTAACAATAATATTAACAGTAATAATATGCACGCTTCGATATGCTCCGACAAAACTGTCTGGGCGGCAGAGTAGTGTCAAATCGCGACTGTACAGTTCTGGCTTCAAAAGACATTATAATATTTTGACAGGAGAAAATATATAAAGTTATAAAAATAATGATAAACAGGAAGATGACTCTCTCCTGGGCCGCTGCACAGTGTAGTCTAATATAAATTTACCGACGTTTCAGAGGTGCTTGTTGCCTCCATCAAGAGGCCTCTGAAACACTGGCATTCTTCTACCAGACGACACGGTGGCACAACTCAGGAGAGAGTCATATTAATATTCGTCGCCGTAGAAGCCTTAAATCTTAATTATGGTATATAAACCACTCAACAAGCGTCAAGAACACAGCACGAATCATTATAATACGGGCAGATTAAACCTCTACACAAAGACGCAGGGATATGAAGATATAACACAGTCTGAAAGAATAATACAATCCAAAATAACAATTATTCGTCACAACATTAACAAAATATACTTTGAGATTATAAACAAATCGTCAATAAATCCAAGATCCACTGCTAGGAACTAGTCTCACCAATGTGTATGACATCCGCATTGAAACAGCCATACGCCAGCTGAAGACGAGGAAACCAATCATGCTGGTTGATCATGGACACAGTAACACTATTGGTAGTAGTAGTAGAACGGTGGTAGTGGGTTATATTATTTACTCAGCACAAAGAAATCTTAGATATGTGGTGCGCAGTAAATATCAAGATATTGGATTAATAGATAGACGACTAATGTAGGCCTGAATGCTATGCGTCTTCGTAAAATAATTCGTAATGAACTAGAGCGTGTGTAACAGACTTGAATTTGGGCTGGTGTCTTTGAGCCTTGTGGGTCCCAGCAGAAACTTAAATCCGAGGAATGTGCATAATGAGAAAAGGTAACACACAGAAACCAACCACGGATGGAATGACTAACACTCTAGGCGTAAAATACTCTGGTGGTGCGTTTGACACGGAACCAACTTTATCTTCGGCCACTTCACTGATCAGGAAGTCACGCCTGACATCAGCACCGCAGAAATTGGTTTCTCTTGTTCTTGTGTTAACTAAAGATTCAGTTTCAAGTTTGTCCACCTGAGAATTACGGGTCTGGTTCATATTACTTAAGGTTTCCTGCATTCGGTTCAATAGTCACCGTTAACGCACTACATAACAGCCGGTTTGTTTCTGGAGCCAGCTGCTCC